AGAAATCGGCGTCGAATTGGTCGCCCCCGGCGGTTTTTCGAGGCGATTTTTTCCGCGACCGCTGCTTAGCCGAGAGTCGTCGAGTGAGAACGACTCTGATTGCCAAGTGTCACAGGATCGAATTCTCAATCGAAACTTGTCACTAAAACTGAATACAAGGCCTATTTATACTCGGAAAGTACAAGGATAAACGAGATAAAACGAACCTTCGGGAACACACCCTTCCCGATACTACAATCACAAGTGCGCATAAGCACGCAAGTCTATTGGCACTTGGGATTACGCCCAGATTACACCGTATACACCACTGTCGGCGCTCTCGGTGCCGTATAATAGGTATGTCGGTGGGAAAAGTAGGAAATAAGAGGAATAAATAGAAGGCTCTAGAAAATAGAATAGTAGGCCGATCGAGATGAGATAAAGACCAAAATAAAGAGGAGAAAAGGGAGAATGGGATAACGGAAAAATATAAAAGTGAGAAAATATTATAACGGGGACGTCCTCTCACACCAGAGGAGAACTCTCCACCTCGGTCAGAGTGCAGACGCAGAACAGGAAAGTCCGAACCGAAGCTCCTCCTGAGCTGGAGACGAGCTGTGCGGATCCAGTCGATTTACACCTCAGTGACATCACCCTTGCTGCGCAAGGGGAAGACAGTGGTGTAACGCGAGTTGTCATCAACCACCAGCAGGAAGTAGCGCTCGTGACCCTGTCCACGGACGCGGGCCGGGCCCACACGTCCATGTGAAGCGTCTGCAGCGGGGCCTCTGTCGGGGGAAACGGGGAGGAGTGAGGGGCAGCCCGGAGCCGCCCCTCGACACAGGGGACACAGGAAGGTCCAGGCCCCGAAGGAAGGGGAGGGAGAGACCGAGGGAGACCAGAGACAAGGACACGGGAAGCCATGCCCCGTAGACGAGGCAAGGAGGGGTGTCCAAGACGATGGTGCCACAGGAGAGTCTCGTGAGACAGGAGGCGACACGAGCAGGGGGCAGACTCAGGACCAGACCGGGACGCAGCAGCAAACACCTGACCCGACGCAGCTACCTGGCCAGACGTAGGGACAGGAGGAGACTCAGTGGTCAGGGTGTAGAGGCTCAACCCCGGCCGACGCGAGAACGTGGCCAGGTGTCGGCCTGTGCGGGTGTCCGAGCAGTGGGTCACTCGCTGACTCGCAGGAGTAAACTGGTGAACCCCCGCATCCTGCAGGTCAGCACCACTCACCAAGTTCGTCGAGAACGAGGGGAGGTACAGACCAGACAGGGTGCCCGAGGGGGCAGCCGGACACGGGAGGACAGTGGAGAAGTGAGAGAGGACAGGACCCCCAGAGGGGTCAGCCACGGAGACTGCAACCGGCCGACCAAGCGGCGTGAGTGTGGTGCGGTCTCGAAAGAAGGAGCGAGAAGGCCCTGAGACAAGTGTGAAGGTGAGGGAGGCCGAGGCCGACGCAGTACCTGAGAGCGCAGCCTCACCAGTACGTGAGAGCGCAGACGCACTGGCACCTAGAGCAGCAGCCTCACAAGCACCTAGCGCAGCAGTACCAATGCCCGGGTCGGGCGGGAAACACCGGTATTAGTCACCCTCCTCACTAATAGTCATAGCATACATGGCAGCAAGGATAGCATCAAAGTCAAGATCAAAGATAGCGACGCAAGCCCTAGACAGCTCTCCCCAGCGGGGAATCTCACTAGCCTCGGGGAACTGCTGACGCCAAGCGTCCGTTAGGCGGCCAAAGCAGCGCTGGGTGGGGTGGGCACCCCCACACTGCTCACCCGCGCGGTCGCCGGAACAAAGGACGTAGGAGCACGGACCAAAACCCCCACCCCGCTGACGCTGCGTGTACCACTCGCGGAGCTGCTGGGGCGGGGGGATGTCCCGCGAACGCTGCTGCTGCTGCTGCTGGCGCTGGCCACCACCAGAGCCGCTCCGCTGCGGGGCACCACCCCGACCAGCTCCACCCCCTCCGCCACCGCCGCCTCCACCTCCGCCACCACCGCCGCCTCCGCTCCCACCGCTGCCGCCGCCACCGCCTCCTCCTCCGCTGCTGCCACCACCACCACCGCCCCCGCCACCACTCCCACCGCCACCCCCACTCACTCCGCCGCCTCCACCGCCACCTCCACCGCCCCCGCCAGCTCCACCCGCGCCCTTGCCCCCCTTGCCCTTGCCCGGGCGGCGTCTCCCGCTAGGGGCAGACGCCACGCCGACCGACTCTAGACCAAGCAGGTCGGCAGCATCAGCAGAGGCAACAGAGGGCAGCAGGGGGGAAGGAGAACACCCCTCAAAGATGGGGGTGCGAGGGTCACCACAAGAGGCTCCTACAGCGACGATGCTCTTCTCCGCCGCCAGGAGGGCCTTCTCGAGGAGGTCGACAGTGAGAGTGGTGGGACATACTGAGAGGAAATGGTCCCTGACTACGCGAAGGGAGTCAGGGAGGCGAGTGACTATGTAGTAGAGAGCGATGTACATGGGGGGGGGGTTCTTGGCGCAGAACTCAGCAGGAAGGGCGGCGCGGTAGCGAGTGTCACTAGTGCGGAGGTGCGTAATGAGGTCAGCGACAGTGGGAAAGGCAGTAAGATCAGGAAAGAGGTACGGTAGCATGAGACGGCTAAGTGCAGCAGTGGCAGGAGAAGAGTAGCGCGCAACTACAGCTTCGTACAAGGTCTGAGCACTCTTGTACTGACTAAAGTGCACGCGCTCAGTGGTAGGGAGGTGGAGACGCACAGCAAGACGTGCAGCAGCATCGCGGGTGGCCCACTGAGAGCGAACAGTGGGGTCAGCATCAGCAGTAGGAGCAGGAGAGGCGCCAGAGGTGAGGTCAAAGAGAGAAAGACCGTCCGCCCTATCGCACTGTAAAAACAGCTGCAGGTCGTCGACCCAGACCTCAAAGTCAATGGCTCGACCCTCAGCGTCAAAAGCGAGGACACTAGGGGTAGCCATGACGAAAGACTAGCAGTGCAAGCAGTGGGGGAAGGGCACGCAGTAGCAGTGGGGCTGTGCTCACCAGACAGGGCAGTTCGGGTAGCTCGGCAGTAGGGCGGCTCGGCTGCGGGGCGGCTCGGCGGCCGGGCGGCTCGGCGGCTCGACGGCAGGGCGGCAGGGCGGCTCGGCGGCTCGGCGGCAGGCTGCTGGGCAGCTCGGCAGTACTGCGGCTCGGCGGCTCGGCGGCTCGGCTGCTGGGCGGCTCGGCTGCACAGCGGCTAGGCGGCTCGGCTCCTCCTGTACTCGGCGGCGCGGCGGTCGGCTGCTCGGGTGCACGCTGCAGGGTGGTGCAGTGGGCGGCGGCTCGGGTGGCGCGGCAGGAGAGGAGAGCGGCAGGGCCGCTATGGGAGACGGCGGGGCCGTTCAAGCAGGGCGGCGGGGCCGCTAAGGAAGGGCGGCGGGGCCGCGAAGTGCAGGGCGGCGGGGCCGCGAAGTGCAGGGCGGCAGGGCCGCTGAAGCAGGCCGGCGGGGCCGCGTTAGCAGGGCGGCGGGGCCGCGTTAGCAGAGGGCGGCGGGGCCGCGTTAGCAGGGCGGCGTGGCCGCTAAGGAAAGGCGGCGGGGCCGCGAAGTGCAGGGCGGCGGGGCCGCTGAAGCAAGGCGGCGGGGCCGCGTTAGCAGGGCGGCGGGGCCGCGAAGGAAGGGCGGCGGGGCCGCGTAGCAGAGGGTGGCAGGGGCCGCAAAGTGCAGGGCGGCGGGGCCGCGAAGGAAGGGCGGCGGGGCCGCAAAGTGCAGGGCGGCGGGGCCGCGAAGTGCAGGGCGGCGGGGCCGCTGTAGCAGGGCGGCGGGGCCGCTTAGCAGAGGGCGGCGGGGCCGCTTAGCAGAGGGCGGCGGGGCCGCGTGAGCAGGGCGGCGGGGCCGCGAAGGAAGGGCGGCGGGGCCGCGAAGTGCAGGGCGGCGGGGCCGCTGTAGCAGGGCGGCGGGGCCGCTTAGCTGAGGGCGGCGGGGCCGCTTAGCAGAGAGCGGCGGGGCCGCGTGAGCAGGGCGGCGGGGCCGCGAAGGAAGGGCGGCGGGGCCGCGATAGCAGGGCGGCGGGGCCGCGAAGTGCAGGGCGGCGGGGCCGCTAAGGAAGGGCGGCGGGGCCGCGATAGCAGGGCGGCGGGGCCGCGAAGCGTAGGGCGGCAGGGCCGCTAGGGGAGAGAAGGCCGCTAGGGCGGCTCGGTGAGTGAATAGCCCGAGGCGCGACTCGGGATGAGTGCGCTTCGGGCAGTAAAAAAAAAATCGAAGTGGTGGGCCCTAGGCGCAGTTCCCACAGGGGAACCTGCTCGATACCATGAGAAGAATTGAACGAGAATGGGAATGACTAAGTGAAAGTGTGGTACAAGTACAAACCCTAGAAAGTTGTACCCCATATGTGCTACCCCACTATAGCCTACAACAGCTATGTCATATATATCTGACACCACCGTCGCTCGTGCGATCACTTTGGCCTCGGCTTCAACATCCAACCCCGGATAGGCTTTAGCCAGAGCGGTAGACTCCAACGCCCGTGCGACGTTGTGCGCAACCTCCCCGAGGGGTTGCTGCCTGCTGATCGCGGCCTCCAGCACCGCCGTCATGACCTTCTTGAACTCGGCGGTGGTAGTCGCGCTCGCGCCGACCACCATCGCCGCCGCCTTCCCTTCGCGCACGGCATCAGCCACCTGGGCGCCGTCGCCCTCGACTAAGCACCACAGGGCGCAAGCGGAGGCCGATAGCGCCTGTGCGACCTTCGCCGTCGTCTGATCCGTGTCGCCCTCCTTTCTCGCCGCGGATGCAGCAACCTTCCCATAAGCAGCGCACAAGGACACGCGATCAATCATGGCCGACATCATTGCATCCGACTTCTACTTCCCTTCCTTCGTGTCGGCATCGACGGGGAACCAAATCGCGGGCAAAAGCGCGTCGTGGTGCGCATCGCGTGATGTCTTGTACGCTCGATACTTCCCGAGGATATCATCGAACCTGTCACGCAATCACACGAAACTGGACGACCATTAGGAACGCCGACGTCGACATCATCGCTTGGCCGACGTTTATCCGACTTACCGTGTCTTTGGGAGGAACCCGCCCCGTGCCCATATCACCGTCCACATCCCAGTTGGCAAGAACCGGACCTCCTCCCACATCGCCCTCCACTGCTTCATCACTGTTTCCTCCAAGCCGGTGAGCTTGGCCATGAGGATCTTGCTGACGTAACCGTCGTAGAGGAGGTACACAATCGAGTGAAGGTAAGCCAGCTCCATCTTCTCGCGGGACTTGCCGATGTATCTACTCTCGTTCCCGACCACCTTAATCTCGCCCACCCACCCTTGCTTGTCGCCCGTGGTGTCGTGGCGGATGCCATGACCCTTCCGTTCTTTCACCTTCACCTTCTCCTCCTCCGTCGCCGCCTCCTCCACCTCCACCTCCGCCTCCTCCACCGCCTCCTCCTCCTTCTCCTCCTCCTCCTCCTTCTCTTTGTCCTCCTCCTCCTCATTCTCCTTCTTGTCCTCCTCCTCCTTCTCCTTCTCCTTCTCCTTCTTCTCCTCCTCCTCCTCCTCCTCCTCCTCCTCCTCCTCCTCCTCCTCCTCCTCCTCCTCCTTCTCCTTCTCCTTCTTCTCCTTCTCCTTCTCCTTCCCGTTCTCCGCCGCCTTCTCCTTCACCATTGCCGTCGCCATCCCCTGTCCTTTCTCCACCGACTTCACCATCGCCGACGTCGCCCGTGTTTTCTTCTGCGAGCTCGGCCTCGCTTTCCCTGCGACGACCGTCCCCTTTCGTTTCGACTTTCCCGCGCCGACCGTAGCAGTGGTCGTCCTTGGCTTCGCTGTACATGCGGTGGGACTCGACGAGTGCGCCAGATGCGCCGAGTCCGAGATGGCCAGTACAGGGGGCTGCATGGGGCAGTTTACCGCTTCCAATAGGTACTGGATGGCAGCGATATCGGCGTCGTTGTGGTCCTTCGCCGCTTGTGCAGGGTCAACTGATCCGCCGCTCGTGGCTAGCGCTACACTCACGCCCTTCTCCGCCACCGCCTTGACAGTAGCCGCACCGAGTGTGGGTGCAGCTACGGTTACCGACGTCGGCGTCGGGCTTGAGCTGGATATCGGCTGAGCCCGTGCTGGCGCTGCCGCAGTACGTGCGCCTAACCGGGCGCGAAGCAACGCGGACTTTGGGTCCACAGGAGGACGGGCGGCGATGATTAGCGCGGTAGGTGGGGCACTGGACGTTGTGGCGGCGACCTGCGGAGTGACCAAGCGACGTGCTGTTGTGGCCGGCGCGGAACCGACCACGGGAGGCTGCTGCACGTCCTGTCTATGGGTCTCCATGCGGCAGAGCATTTCCCTGAGCACGTTCGCCTTTGGGGCGGACGGATCAGCGCGGTTAGCCGCAGCATCCACCGCGTCAACCTTGGCGGCAGACGTGCCTGCTGGTGCTGGAGTAGCGGCAAGGGAGGGCCCATCGTTGTTGGCGGCTGACGGGGCGACCGGCGCGCTGCTAGCCGCAGGGGGTTTGCGGGGAATCAACATGGTCCCCGCCACTCCGCCAGACGGTCCCTTGACGGTTTTGGCGCCGCCATCTATCGCCGTTGGTGCGGTCGCTAGACTCGCCGGCTTCTTGGCGACCAATGGCGGGGGTGTTGGTTCAGCCTCTTGAGTGACAACCTGGTCGGCAGGGCCCCCCTCCGCACTCCTGATTCCATCGCCCTTGCTATGCGTCCTTTTCACCTTGGCCCCGTTCTTCTTGACCTGGTCGACCACGCTCGTACCTCCGCTCCCATCGGCTCCCTTGCTCCGCGAGCGGCGTGGACCCACCTCGCCAACGCCGCGGCTTCCATCGGCTCCCTTGCTCCGCTTCGAGCTCAACGCATCATCTCCGCCACCTGCCCTTTTCGCACCCTTCTTGTCAGCCTCGTTGGCCGACGGCAACGACCCAAGCTGACCAGGTGCCAGATTGCCGATCACCCCGGTCATGAGGTTTAACCCGGATGCAACAAATGACTGTTGGGTGGCCTCAGTCACCGCCTTCAACACGTCCGCCTTGAAAGACTTCATGAGCTCGTCCGGGAAAGTTGGCAGTGAGGCGGGCGACGTGGGCGGCGGCACGGCGACGCGTTGAGTTACCGCGGCGATGATGTTGGTCTGCGCGGCAACTAGGTGCTTCGATATGTATTCCTCCAATCCCTTCCTCGCTTCGTCCACGTGGTTGCCCATGGCGACGACCGCGTTCGCACGTTGCACCGCCATAAACCCCTCCGGATTCTCTAGATCGTCCAACCAGCACTCCGCCCTCTCGGCGTACGCCTTCATCGCATCCCATGCTTCACCCATGTTGGCGGTGATGTTCTCCGTGACGGTCGTCGCCATGGTCAAGGACGCGTCCATCAGCCGACTCGCCGCGTCCTGGTCGGAGGCGGCGACCTGGTCGGCCAACGACCTGAGCTTGTCCACGAGGCGGCCAATCCCCATCGCAAACCTGTCCACCCGACCCCTCTCCACTCCGAGCGCCGTCTCGAGACGAGCATTTTCAGCCCTCAGCCACCTGTTCTCCTGTCGCAGCTGCACGACGACGGCCGGCGTTGCCTACCGACGACGGCCGGCGTTGCCTCCTGAGGAACCCGGTTGACGGCCCGCCTCTACCGCTCCACCCCGACGTTCCACCCCTGCGTTCCTTGTGGTGGTCTCCACGCCCGTCGGCGTCGGGGCCGCGGCGTTATCCTCCTCCTTTGCGTCGCCAACCACATTGCCTACCACGTGCGCCTCCTCCACGCCGACATTCTCCACATTGGCACCCTCCCCTCGCACGTACACAACATCCGCCAACATCCCACCCGTTCCCTCCACGGCCGCCGCCGCTCCCTCCACGGCCACCGCCCCCGCTCCCTCAACATCCTCCATCTTGAATTCGACCCAGGGGAACTCTACCTCCTCCTCCCCCTCTTGCTGCTTCTCCCCCTCCGCCACCTGCTCCACCGACCCGAAACCCTGCTCCACGGCCTCTGCCGCCACCGCCGCCTTGTCCTCCTCCTCCTCCTCCTCCTCCTCCTCCTCCTCCTCCTCCTCCTCCTCCTCCTCCTCCTCCTCCTCCTCCTCCTCCTCCTCCTCCTCCTCTTCCTCCTCCTGCCCATGCCCCTGCTCACGCTTCTCACGATCCTCCTTGTTATCATCCTGATCGTCGGTGTCATCCTCCTCCTCCTCCTTTTCCTGATCCGCGGTCCTCGCCACAACCCTTTCTGCCTCCTCATCTGCCTTGTCGACGCCGTCTCCGGCCTCTCCGCTGGTGTCGGCGACATCGACTGCTTGGGATGCCGAAGGGGGCTCCGCGGCGTCGTCGTTACAGGAGTCGGCAGCAACTTCGACATGGCCTGACCGTTTGCGTGCGACGTGTTCCTTGATGAATGTGATCATCCGAATCCGCAGCTCCTTCAACCCCGAAACGAGGACCTTGTCCATGCTGGTCGCACTGCGAAGGTCGTTGCTGGTCAGGCGATCCATCCTCTTCACCACCCAGCACAGCGCGCTCATTGATAGGAGGCTAGAGCCCGCGTCGCTGCCCCGGACGGTGTCGCGCACTTTCTGCAAACAACAGAGTAGAGAGCAAGGATGAGCATCGACGGCGGCAATGGCATCGCGCTAGGACGGTAAAACGATCGGTACTCACATCTCGAACGGGTTCATCGCAGTCGGCGAGCCTGTCCGCCACCTCTTCAGCAGAAGGCTTCGGCCACTCCCACTGCCGGCCATCACGGCCGAGCTCGGCCAGCCCCGCCGCCCGGAAAAACCTGAAGCAACATGGCACATATCGTCAGTAGACTTGCTTAACGCCCAGCGGGGAAATTGCATGCGTCGTCGACTACACTATCGAGCTCACTTCAGCATGTGGATCGCCTCGTCGCGGTGCCACTGCTTCACGGTTTGCGGGTCAAAGTGCCGGACCGAGGTCCTGATCGTCTCCCCCCCGGCCCGCAACAAGTCGTCGGGGTACAGGATGACCACGACGCTGCAATGTGCTCCTGGAAGCGGTGCGATGCTGCACAGGCTAGGCACCACGACGTCGATCAGAACGGAGCAGCGACATAGGCATCATGGCACACCATCATGACTTAGGCTCACCTCGAATGTAGGGGGATAACAGCTACGTCGGCGTCGAACACTGTAGCAAAGCATGAGTGGTCTTCCTTGCCCATCGCCGCCCAAACCCGGTCGAGTCCTATCGACCACAATCGCATGTTGGCCGGCGCCGCGCGAATCCATGCGTGCCTGCACGCATGCATGGGTAGTAGATGTGTGTGAGGACGTGCAAGGCACGACGGATGGACACGTGGGTTCTGGAACCGACAACTGACGGGGATGGCGATAGTAGAACGGTGCACCACCGTCGCTACGTTGTAAGCAATGGCGCCTACCGATGCGGGCACCGACCTACTGTAGTGATCGGAGTCCGGTGCCGACCTACGGCTGTGTGCGTCACCGACCTACTGTAGTGATCGGAGTCCGGCACCGACCTACTATAGTGATCTAAACCCTAAACTAGTAGCGCCGACCAAAACGTGGGACAACCCTAACAACGTCGACCTGCAAGGTATCCAGCGGTCGACGTCGACATCCCAATACGGACACTCACTTGAGGCCGAATCCCAAGCAACGGGCGTTGAACTCTAGCCTATGGTCTACGAGGACGGCGTAGTCGTGTTCATCGAGCTTGGCAGTGAGTCCACTACCCAGGTCGAGATACAGAGGGAAGTCGTGCGAAGTCGTCGTCACTTCGCCGACTTTCGGGCCGGCCGACATGGCGGGGAAGGGAAGCGGCTACAGGCTAAGGGACGTGAATGTGGGAGAAGGAGCAGAGCTGGGGAAAAGGTGGAAAGGGAAACGAGATGCCGAAAATGAGGAGCGATGCCCCCTTCCACCAAGAAAAGGGGGTCGGTGCCCCACAGGAACGGTCGAGGCATCGCCCGGCCCTCGTGGTGCCTGCCTCGGCGGGGTTTGGCGGGCTCGTGCTCAAGTGGCACAAGTTCTCATACGCCGCCGAGCCAGCAAGTCGATGTCACATCCCAAAGCGAAAAATGTGCGCCGCGAAGCGATCGAAATCGAATTCGCAATGTCCCAAATTGAATTCGCAATGTCCCAAATTCTGCATGTTGCCCGATGCGAAGTAGGCGGGCGAACACGTGACGTCACCGCAACGGGTCGCGAAGTTGTCGAGTGTCCCGAGGGGGCCCCGAATTTTTGCCTGGCCCTCGCCTGCCCGTCCGGGCAGGCCGCAATGGGTTACTAGGACCTCGCGGGCAGGTGGCACGTGTGGGCTGCCTTCGCGCGAGGGTAATTTTCCCACGCGCGAGCTGTCGCCAGTTCGCCGACCCCACCCGGTAACGTGGGCCGCTGTTCACATTCGGAGCGGGGCTGCGGGGCGGCGGTCGTGCGCTCGGCCCAGCCTTGGGCCAGGCTGGCGGGCCCACACGCGCGTTAGTGCTCCGCCCCGTCAGCCCAGGCTTTGACGACCCCCCTCAACGACACTGGCAAATCGACTCCGTCGACCGAATTCGGCTGGGGTGTTCGGATGGGAAGGGATGTGGTGGTGCGGCAAGCTCCAGTGGCGCTGCGTGAAATAAACCTATCACTTACATTAGACGTACTAACCAGTTGGGTAGTGTACAAAATCTATACGTATTACAAGTAATGACACATAAAACGGAGGTGCAAAGAATCCCCCATCCCTAGTGCCAAGTCAATATAGTCTGCAGTCAGTAGAAACTAGTCATATAGGAGAAAAAAAACATGCATACGACCTGGTAGTTGTGCATTAGCACGCGTAACGTAGTGCCTAGTAAGAAAGTGTCACCGGGACTGCTACGACATAAGTTCCAGCAAGAAAACAAGCGCAAGCAGTCATCGTGCATGAACACTCGCCCGCTTCACAGGGTTGAGGGTCGAATTTCAAACCATGCTAGTTGCCTGTGTCGTGGCATGCTTAAGCCCATACAAGTAAAATCACACATGAGGAACCGGTATGCTCACATTGCTGCCAACCAATCAAGAACAAAACAGGGCATGTGCACTGCACAAGCATCTTGAACGTAGCATCAATTGCCAATAATGATTGCCAATGTCACACACTATCAATCCGATCATGCTTCAGGATTGGGCATGCGCACATGTGCGAGAACCTTGGCCAATAGCGAACCATCAGCTATCAACAATAGCTGCCTAACCACAAACTAATGGTCCCATCATGCTTCAGGAATGGGCATGCACACATGTGCGAGAACCTTGGCCAATAGCGAAGCATCAACGAAGAACCGGGTAGCTAAGGAGTCAATGCCGGCACCCACAGGGCCGCTGCTGCTGCTGCTACGGCTGCTGCGGCTGGTGCTGCTGCTGTCACCACCGCCCCTGCTGCTGTCCCCACTGCCCCTGCTGCTATCCCCACTGTTCTGTGCATGTAGAGCGAGCAATTCCTTCAGCTGAACCAGAGTAACTCTCCCAGACAAAGGCTTGTCACCTTGAGCATCCCCTCTAGTCTGAAGGAGGGGAGTGTGGGGGAGGGGAGTGCATGTAGAGCGAGCAATTCCTTCAGCTGAACCAGAGTTATTCTCCCAGACAAAGGCTTGTCACCTTGAGCATTCCCTCTAGTCTGAAGGAGGATTATGGAGGGTAGTGGAGAGGAATGCGAGGAAGGAAGTGTGAGGGAAAGCGATTCACCCAAAGTGCTCGCACCCACCTGCACCTTTCAATCCACCTTCCTGCCCTGTCCCATCCCAAGGCGTTCCAACCCACCTTCTCTCTCCCCAAAGTGCCGATTCGCTGCTCCCTTATCGGCCCAAGCACCCCCTGCATTCGCCCTGGTTCCCACACATGCTCACACCCACCACCTGCACCTTTCAACTCACCTTCCTGCCCTGTCCCAAGGCGTTCCTATCCACCCGCCCTCTCCCCACCCCACGGTGCCAGCCGATTCGATGCTCCCTTATTCCCCCTACCACCTTCTGCTGCTGCATCGCCTCCCCCACATGCACACATACGCCCCGCCTTTCCACCCAACCCCTTTCCACCCAACCCCTTTCCCCTCTTCTTAGGTGCTCCAACCCACCTGCTCTCTCTCCCTTATCGCCCCAAACACCTCCTGCATTTACCCTAGGTCCCATGCCCATCCCCCTCAACCCACCTGCACCCATCTGCCTGGACTGTCAAATCAACCCACCTGCTCTCGCCCCACGATGTCAATTCGGTGCTCCCGTATCGCCCCAAACACCTTCTGCATTTGCCCCTTTCTCCTGCAAGAATCCCCTCTTCAACGCACCTGCACCCACCTGCACCCACCTGCACCTACTTGCACCCACCTGCACCTACTTGCACCCACCTGCACCTACTTGCACCCACCTGCTCTCTCCCCACAGTGTCGATTCGGTGCTCTCTAATCGCCCCAAACACCTCCAGCATTCGCCCTGGCTCCCGCACCCATGCCCCTTCGTCCCCCTCCCCTGCTGCCCTCCCCCCCTGTACGGGTACAGGATCGCCTGGCTCTATGATGGGCACTGGAGGGAAGGCGGAACGGGGGGATGATACAAGGGAGACACAGATTAGCGCCCATTCCCCCAGCTACATCCCCCTCGCTGCTGTTGCCCTCCCCCCCTGTGCTGGTACAGTACAGGTTCGCCAGGCCCTATGATGGGCACTGTGGGAGAGGAGGATGGGAAAAGGGAGGAGTGAGCGAAAAACAGAAAACTGAGACGTTTCCGTGATCACCCATCGCTCTCCCCTCCTGCCCCTCCTCCCCTGTGCGGGTACAGGATCGCCTGGCTCAATGATGGGCACTGAGGGGGGGAGGGGCGGGGGCGGGGGAAGGGGGGGACGAGACACTGGATCGCCTCCTGCAGTCGCCCCTGCTGCCCCCCCCCCCTGTGCCGGTACAGGTTCGCCTGGCTCAATGATGGGCACTGTGGGAAAGGAGGGGGGGGGGGGGTGGGGTGAAAGAGAGTCGTGTTCTTGATCCCCCCAATCCAAGCACCTCCTGCATTCGCCCTGCGTCACCCGCCCATGCTCGCTCCCACATCCACCTCCCTGCTCTCGCTCTCCCCTCTGCCCTCCCCCCCTGTCCACTTACCGATAATGGGCACTGCGGGGCAGGAGAGAGGGAAAAGGGGGGGGAATGGGGGGTGTGGAAGACGAAGGGAGGGAAGCAGGGAAAGGGAAACAGAGTGAGAGAGGGAAGGAGAAAACAACCCACACCCCCACATCCCCCTCCCTGCTCTCACCTTCTCCTTGCTTCCCTGTCCTGGGGAGTGGACAGAGTCGGGGGAGTGGGGTGGGTGGGTGGGCGGCGAAGGGAGCATCGGCGGAAAGAAAACGCTGCGTGGAGGAAGCATCGAGTTCATTTCGTTGTGGAAGAACTTAGAGCAGCCCACGTGTGATGCTGCGGATTTGCAGGGAGTTTTTTTAGAATTCTCAAAAACTCCCTGCAACGCTGCGCGGAGGAACGGCATCGAGTTCTTTTCGTCGTGGAGGAACCTAGAGCAGCCCACGTGCGACTTTTGAGTCGACTCAAAGGAAGCATCGAGTTCATATCGGCGTGGAGGAACCTAGAGCAGCCCACGTGTGATGCTGCGGATTTGAATGCGCCTAGAAAACAGCGCGTCGGATGGAAAAACGGCTCTAAAATGACCTGTGAGTGTTCAGTAGCCTGATACACAGGGTAAAACTAGTCTCTGAACGTACTGGCTTCAGGTGGCGGCGGGCGCGACGGATAGTCCGACGACGGCCGCGGAGGTCCCGCCGGTCCTGCGGAGAACTGCCGATCCAAGGACGCGACTGGCGACTCTTGCCGCGTCGCGGAAACTAAAGGGACCGAAGCGGTCGCGCGGATCGCGCAGGAGCAGCGCAGGCGGAGGTGAAGGTTCGGAAGGACGACTGTCGATAGTCGCCTTCTGCTCGCGCAGGACGCCATGCGGCCACGTCGCCGAGGCAGTTTTGAGGCTCCTACGGATTCTATGGACGCTGCTAATGCCGCAAAGAGAGTAATTTGAGGAGAGCAGGGTAGAAAAGGCGAAACTGAGATACAAAGTTATTTATGAGTCCATGGCGTAAATGGCTTGCGGGGAGAATTGGAAAATGGATTCAAATCTGGCACTCTTGGTACTTTTGCGACACACAAACAAATCATGCGAAATAACGACAATCTGGCGAACATCGACGAAGACGCATGTGCTTCTGAATCAGGAAACCAAAACCTTGGTAGCAGGTTTCTGGAGGTTCGAAGAAAACTTCGACGCTGCTGATTGGTTCCCATGTTGGTTTGCGGTGGTTCGCAGACCAATTACTTTCTCCGCCCAGCCTGTCGCCCCATACCGCCAGCCTCCCGAACCAACAAATCCCCTCCCCCGCCTCTCTACTTCTCCCCCCACCTTCTTCCCCTTCAGCTTTCCCCCCCGCCTTCTCCCCCTTCCCCCCGAAATTCCCCAGCCTTCCCCCGAGCGTGGCGGAGTTCCTGTGATTCAGTTTTCCTCCTGCTGGCAACCATTCCTTGCTAGACACCATTCTTTGCCAGGAGAGCCTGCTAGAGATCCCGTAACCCTAAGTTCCTGCTAGATTTCCTAGCTTCCAAAATCACGCTTTAGAGCGCTTCTCGTGTCCCGAGCACCTCACCATGACGGTCGCGCCCTTTAGCAAGGTCGGCCCGCCGATCTTCTCGGCTCTCGCGCTGTCCTACGGCATCTGGCTTGCCGCTCGCGCGCAGCCTTTCGGCGGAGAGACCCCGCGGACCATGACGCGGGAGTGGATCCAAGCCAGCGACAAGCTGCTTGACGCGTGGCCGCGGGAGGCCGGTTCTCCCGTCGTCATGAACCCCATCTCCAGGCAGAATGCTATCAAGAACTGAAGAAGCGGTTTTTACGGGAAGCTTCGCTTCGTGTCTTGCTGATCGACGGTAGCGACTGGTTGTTCGGCTTTCTGAAGTTCGGTCGTACCGATGTCTAGTTGTAAATGGTTATTAGCTTTCGCCATCTGTTGTGTGATTCGAGGCAGCATTGTTTCTTCATTAAGGCACTTGACTTGGAATCGTTTGACGCCTGGCCTGGCATCCGCTTTGTCGATCATGATCTGATCTCATCTCATGGACATTACTTTTCTTCCTTACTGGTGCAACAATGTTGGTGTAGCCTCCCATATTGGACTCACTCTGGTTTGATTTGCTCACACTCAATGCTCCAATCCTGCCAGCTGCGTGAGTCATGTATATTTCAAGGTGCTATGCATACCTGGAGTGTCCATGTCTGTCAACTGTGTGTGTCAAGGCTTCGCCTTTGTGGTGGGATCATTGAAAGCGTGCAAGCTCGTAGAACTGCTTTGTGAGGGGTATTTGAGTCATTTGCAACATACATCAATTTACGTTCGCTATGCAACACACGAATCGTGTTATTGCAAGTATCCCGCTCCTATGTAGCACAAGAATCACGTTATTGCCAATATCCGAGAACGCGTTATCGGGTTCCCCAACAATCGAAACTCACAGAACTCCCTCGTCGTCACTGCGGCAACACCGAGAGGAAATGGCAATTTCAGCTGAATAATCAGCTGAAACACACCAAACCGCTCTCAACCTAGCGGAGAGTTTCAAACTTCAGCTTCGTCTCTGGACATTGTCGCGTCACCTTCACTCTTTCTGATTCTGCTGGTGCCATCTCTCGCACTCCATTCACAACTCCTCACTGATAACTCAGCCAGTTTTCCAAAACCTCCTCATGCGTGCGAGTAAACCCAGCATAGGTTCGGTCGCGGTTCCATACAGTGATTTGGCTTGTAGAGCAATTGAGTTTAAATGGAGCGGAAACCAACTTTCGGGATGCACCCTTACTTCGCTCGTCACTGTCTTTCATAGCAGCCGCTACGCCACGGTCTCGCTGCGCTTCTTCTTCTCGAGATCCTCTGCGTAGCCCGTTGCAAGTTACTCGGTTTTTTCGCAGTAAAAGCAGCCAACACGGTAGTGCCAGCTGGCATTGCCTCTAGACCGCCATGGCCCGGACTGTAGCTCGATCCGCCAGCACGACAACCTCCATGGAGTGGAAAACGCGTAAGCCGAGGCAAAAGCGTGCGAGAAAGAGTTGTAGCTCTCAAGGGAACGCCTCGTCACCGCCAACTCCGGTTTCTCCTGACGACCGTTTGGACGTCTCGCTGACTCCGTCAGCAAACGGCGATGCGAAGTCAAACTCGCTGAGACGCGACGCGAATGTCGGCGAGGAGGGATCGCCACTCCGCGATGTAACTTCTCACAATCCTGCCGTTATGAGGAAGGACCAGTGCGATAGCCCGAGCATTCGAAAGACTGAGGCTAGTAATTCTCCTGTTCCTTCATCAACATTCTCAGGTCGCGTTCCTGTACCGCAATGTGACAATACTCCGAGAAGGAGGCCGCGTACCGTGGGTGACCTGAGACGGCTGCGACAACTGTCTTCATCCCCGTTATTGCCTTCCCCAGCATCAGCTTCAACACCAGCAACAGGTGCAGCAGTGTCAGCTGCAGCACCTACGCCCGAGGCCAGAATCACACCAGAAGGGCTCTCTAGAGCATCAAGACCAACAGCTAGGGTTTCGCTTGGACAGCTGTCCCAAACGAAGATCACTGCTGGAAATGAGTCTCTGGTTTTTGTAACGTCTCAAAAAGCATCAGGACCAACAGGTAGGGTTTCACTTGGACGGCTGTCCCAAACAAAGACCACTGTTGTCAATGAGCCTCCGCTCTTGGCTCCTGTGAGTCCGGTGAATCCGTTTTCAAGCAGTGGCCGCAGCAACGAGGTTGTTCCAGACAGTGAGGAGGATGCTATTAGCGAGGATATTGGTGGTGGAAATCGAGGTGCTTCGGTGCGCAACGGTACTGGCAGTGCTTTTCGTAGTGGGAAGGGTGGAAAAGGGAGTCAGTCTGGTGACTGTGATAATGGTGAAGGGGAGGGTGGAGGCGAGGGTTGTGACAGTAAGGGGGCTGTGGATATGAGGACATTTTTGGACGGTTTCAACCTGAGCGGCGAAGCAGAATCAGCGTGGCAAATGGAAAGCAGTCCTGTAAAAGAGGAGGCAGCAAAGTCAACTGACGGATTGCCAGCAACTGAGAGATCTCCAGCAGCTGACGGATCTCCAGCAACTGACGGATCTCCAGCAGCTGACGGGTCTCCAGCAACTGACGGATCTCCAGCAACTGACGGATCTCCAGCAGCTGACGGACCTCCAGCAACTGACAGGCCAACAGCAACTGACGGATCTCCAGCATCTGAAATGCCCCTGGAAGTAACTCCTGCTGCTGAAGCTCCCAGCAACTCTCAACATGCTAATACCCGTCTGATGAAATCTAGAAAGAAGCAGAGGAGCAATTCTGGGAAGAATACGAGCAGGAGGGTGGAGATGGAAGGGACAGGTGGGAGCACACGTGGTGCAGCAGAAGCAATTGCGGGTAATGAGGCGACTTTCGAGGCGCCTCAAAGGAAGAATACGAGCAGGAGGGTGGAGATGGAAGGGACAGATGGGAGCACACGTGGTGCAGCAGAAGCAATTGCGGGTAATGAGGCGACTTTCGAGGCGCCTCAAAGGAAGAATACGAGCAGGAGGGTGGAGATGGAAGGGACAGATGGGAGCACACGTGGTGCAGCAGAAGCAGTGCGGAGCAGAAGCACATTCACAACAAGCCCTCAGCCGAAGCGTCACAAAGGCGCGAGGGCGAGTGGCCTTGGTGATGCTGCTGGCGTAGAGGCAGCAGGTTCGATTTCACCCCGAGCCACAGCTATTGCAGGAGGAGCAGCAGCCGGAGAAGGCACGGTAGAATGCAGTACGCCTAAGAGCAGTAAAACGCGCAGAGGCAGCAGTTCATTCAAAGGCAGTTCGCGAAAAGGCACCACGCTCAAAGGCTACTCCCCTCTGGCCCTAGTCACGAGCAGCCCTCGTTCCACGCCTTCGTTTCTATCACCACCCCTTCCATTGTCACCCCTGCCACTGTCACTCCCGGCTGCTCGTTCGGATTCCACTCACAAGCCCCCATTATTGTCACACCGGATGTTGTCACTGCCTACAAGTTTTAACGAAGGGGACGGGGTGCCACCTTTGCTGCCAAATCCGTCATTGTCACACCCGGCTGTTCCTTCTGATTCTCCACACATGCCACCGTTATTGTCACACCCCCGAGGTGAGGGGGAGGGAGAGGATAAGAGAGAGGACGTGGGAGAGGAGGAGAGGGAGGAGGGAGGAGGAACGGTGGGAGCGAAGGGGATGGAGCGTAGCAGAGAGGATGTGAGAGAGAAGGGAGAGGAGGGGAGAGAGTATGGGAGAGAGGAGGGCAGAGAGGAGGGGAGAGAAGAGGGAAGCGAGGAGAGGAGAGACGAAAGGGGAGAGGAGGGGAGAGAGAAGAATGAGGAGGAGATAGGTCAGGAAGGTGCTGCAATGTTAGAGGAGGGGGGTGATATGGGGGGACGAGAGGGAGCCGGAAGGCATATACATGTGGAAGGTGGGAAAGATGAGGAAGTTGGGAAAGATGTGAAGATGTGGGTGGACGGTGCAGCAATCACAGAGGAAGGGTGTGATATGAGGGGGAGAGGGGTAGGAGGAAGGCGTATGCATATGGAAGGTGGGAATGGTGAGGAAGGTGGAAAAGATGAAGAAAATGGGAAAGATAGGATAGATGTGTGTGTGAGAGGGGGCGGTGGTGTGTACATAGAAGTGCATCATCCACTGCCAGTGCTGGCTGTGCACGTGTGGGCGGATAACAACCCCTCTAACGGCCCTTCCTGGGGCAGCGGGCCCTCATCAGAGGTGCATGCAGATGCGCAATTGGGTGGTGCGCTGCAGTCGGATTCAGCATTTGGAAGCCCGCGTGTAGATGGAGGAAGAGGAGGAGGAGGAGGAGGAGGAGGAGGAGGAGGAGGAGGAGGAGGAGGAGGAGGAGGAGGAGGAGGAGGAGGAGGAGGAGGAGGAGGAGGAGGAGGAGAAGGAGGAGGAACGCGCATCGCAGTGTGTTTGGGGAAGGAGGAGGAGGAGGAGGAGCGGAAGGTAGTGGTGTATGAAGTAACGAGCACTGGGAGGAGTGGTGTAGAAGGCTGTGATGTGGGAAGGAGTGGTTTGGCAGGGAGCGGTGTGGCAGGGAAAAGGCCACACGAAGCAGCAGGAAATGCGGCTGGAAATGCGGGAGGAAATGCGGGAGGAAATGCGGGAGGAAATGCGGGAGGAAATGCGGGAGGAAATGCGGGAGGAAATGCAGGAGGAAATGCGGCTGGAAATGCGGGAGGAAATGCAGGAGGAAATGCGGCTGGAAATGCGGGAGGAAATGCAGGAGGAAATGCGGCTGGAAATGCGGCTGGAAATGCGGGAGGAAATGCGGGAGGAAATGCAGGAAGACCAGGGCTAGGAACGCTTCAAGAAGCAGCGAGACATGGGGCTCCGTGGTTCAGGCTGGTGGGAAGCTTTGGTGTGAAAGTCGACTATGCAGAAGCACGGACGGAGGTGCGTGCGTGGAAAGGGATGGCTTTTGATTCAGTGAGCTCTTGAGAATTCCCACTTAATGTGACCTCATCTCATGGTTCGTGGAAAGAAGCACAGACGGAGGCGTGTGGAAAGAGCGTCACGCCACGGCGACTTTTGAGTCGACTCATAAGAGTGTCACGCCACAGCCTTCAGCAACCCATCGCTGCACCCGTGCTCTCCGCCTGCTCTCCCCTTCATAAGATTTCCTTCCTGCAGCTGTTCCCCGAGCGCCACACAAGCAAGCCACACAAACAATGGCCTTTTCTGCGAGTTTTGAGTCGACTCAAAACTCGACTCTCCGCCTGCTCTCCCCTTCATAAGATTTCCTTGCCTGCAGCTGTTCCCCGAGCGCCACACGAGCAATGGCCTCTCCTGCGGTTCCTGCCTCTACTCTCGTTTCCTGCCTCTACTCTCGTTTCCTGCCTCTACTCTCTTTTCCTGCCTCTCCTGCAGTTCCTGCCTCTACTCTCGTTTCCTGCCTCTACTCTCATTTCCTGCCTCTACTCTCGTTTCCTGCCTCTACTCTCTTTTCCTGCCTCTACTCTCGTTTTCTGCCTCTACTCTCGTTTCCTGCCTCTACTCTCTTTTCCTGCCTCTGCTCTCGTTTCCTGCCTCTACTCTCTTTTCCTGCCTCTACTCTCTTTTCCTGCCTCTACTCTCTTTTCCTGCCTCTACTCTCGTTTCCTGCCGCTACTCTCTTTTCCTGCCTCTACTCTCTTTTCCTGCCTCTACTCTCTTTTCCTGCCTCTACTCTCTTTTCCTGCCGCTACTCTCCTTTCCTGCCTCTACTCTCTTTTCCTGCCTCTACTCTCTTTTCCTGCCTCTACTCTCTTTTCCTGCCTCTACTCTCGTTTCCTGCCGCTACTCTCTTTTCCTGCCGCTACTCTCTTTTCCTGCCTCACTAACCCATCGCTGGGCGTCGAGCCATGGCCTTCTCTTCCTGCGGCACCTGCCTCTATCTCGCTAACTGCTTCACTCTCTGCCCCCGTCCTTCTTCATGTCACCCTTTCAGGTGTTCCCCGAGCGCCAAGCCATGGCCTTCTCTTCCTGCGGCACCTGCCTCTATCTCGCTAACTGCTTCACTCTCTGCCCCCTTCCTTCTTCATGTCACCCTTTCAGGTGTTCCCCGAGCGCCAAGCCATGGCCTTCTCGCCCTGCGGCACCTGCCTCTATCTCGCTAACTGCTTCACTCTCTGCCCCCTTCCTTCTTCATATCACCCTTTCAGGTGTTCCCCGAGCGCCAAGCCATGGCCTTCTCGCCCTGCGGCACCTGCCTCTATCTCGCTAACTGCTTCACTCTCTGCCCCCTTCCTTCTTCATATCACCCTTTCAGGTGTTCCCCGAGCGCCAAGCCATGGCCTTCTCGCCCTGCGGCACCTGCCTCTATCTCGCTAACTGCTTCACTCTCTGCCCCCTTCCTTCTTCATATCACCCTTTCAGGTGTTCCCCGAGCGCCAAGCCATGGCCTTCTCGCCCTGCGGCACCTGCCTCTATCTCGCTAACTGCTTCACTCTCTGCCCCCTTCCTTCTTCATATCACCCTTTCAGGTGTTCCCCGAGCGCCAAGCCATGGCCTTCTCGCCCTGCGGCACCTGCCTCTATCTCGCTAACTGCTTCACTCTCTGCCCCCTTCCTTCTTCATATCACCCTTTCAGGTGTTCCCCGAGCGCCAAGCCATGGCCTTCTCGCCCTGCGGCACCTGCCTCTATCTCGCTAACTGCTTCACTCTCTGCCCCCTTCCTTCTTCATATCACCCTTTCAGGTGTTCCCCGAGCGCCAAGCCATGGCCTTCTCGCCCTGCGGCACCTGCCTCTATCTCGCTAACTGCTTCACTCTCTGCCCCCTTCCTTCTTCATATCACCCTTTCAGGTGTTCCCCGAGCGCCAAGCCATGGCCTTCTCGCCCTGCGGCACCTGCCTCTATCTCGCTAACTGCTTCACTCTCTGCCCCCTTCCTTCTTCATATCACCCTTTCAGGTGTTCCCCGAGCGCCAAGCCATGGCCTTCTCGCCCTGCGGCACCTGCCTCTATCTCGCTAACTGCTTCACTCTCTGCCCCCTTCCTTCTTCATATCACCCTTTCAGGTGTTCCCCGAGCGCCAAGCCATGGCCTTCTCGCCCTGCGGCACCTGCCTCTATCTCGCTAACTGCTTCACTCTCTGCCCCCTTCCTTCTTCATATCACCCTTTCAGGTGTTCCCCGAGCGCCAAGCCATGGCCTTCTCGCCCTGCGGCACCTGCCTCTGCTCTCCCTTCTCCTCCTCAGCTCAGTAACCCAGCCCTGCCCTAGACCCCCCTCCTCCCGTCCCGTCACACCACCCTCTGGCAGGTGTTCCCTGAGCGCCAAGCCATGGCCTTCTCTCCCTGCCGGTGCTGGTAACATGGTAACCCAGCCCTGCCCTACACCCCCCTCCTCCCGTCACATCACTCTCCACCAGGTGTTTCCCGAGCGCCAAGCCATGGCCTTCTCGCCCTGCGGCACCTGCCTCTACCTCGCTAATTGCTTCACCCTCTGCCAACCGTCAGAGCTTATAACGAAGCCTACTGAAGCAGCTGCATTCAGCGGCAACAGCAACAGCAACAGCAGCAGAAGCAGTAGCAAAAGAAACGGCAGCCACAGCAGCAGTGGCAGGAAGACAATCGTTTCTGGTGGTGTGACAGTAGTCGAGTTGAGCTTGGATATGGAAGCATCAAGAAATAGGGGATTTCAGTCCAATCTTCTGGAATTCCCTGCAGCACCCACCAGCAGCGCCTCGACCGCTGCTGCCCTCCGTTCGCCCCCTTCACTCTCTACCTGCCTTCCACCGTTCCCCTCCCTCTCAAGCCTCTCACCGGCGGTTCCCAAGTGCCCACAGATGTGGGCTGTGGTGGTGGTGAGGAGGGGGAGGAACGACGGTGGGAAGGGCGTGGAAGATGAAACGAGTGGGGGGAAGGAGATGGGGAGGGGTGTGGAAGGGAAGGGTAGGGAGGGAGGAGGCATGGAGGGAGGAGGCATGGAGGGAGGAGGCATGGAGGGAGGAGGCACGGAGGGAGGAGGAGAGTGGGTGGTGGTGGCAGCAGGGGACGGTGGTGCTGCTTGCTGCTGGGTGATGGACAAGTATCGAAGGTGAGAGGGGCGCTCAGAGAGAAGGTGGGTTTATGTGAGGATTGGTGAGGGTTGGTGAGGGTACGTCAGGGTAGGTTGGGGTGGGTGAGGTTAAGGGACGGTGGTGCCGCTTGCAGCTGGGTGATGGACAAGCATGGAAGGTGAGAGGGGCGGTGAGGGGTGACGTAAACTGGGTTTTATAGAAAATGTGGGGGTAATTGCGTGTAGGTGAAGGAAGGGGATGGTGGTGCTGCTTGCTGCTGGGTGATGGACAGGCATGGGAGGTGAGAGGGACACATACAGGGAGGTTGGGATCAGGTGGGGGTAGGTGGGGGTAGGTGGGGGTAGGCAAGATCCATTTTAAAGAAGACGATGTTGTTTTACAATAGGGGACACAGAACCCCTTTTACTGGGGGTAGGTGGGGGTAGGTGAGGTGAGGGTAGGTACACATAGGGGATGGTGGTGCTACGTGCTGCTGGGAGATGGACAGGCATGGAAGGTGAGAGAGGATGTGAGGGGAAGCGAGAGGAGAGGGGAGGTGAGCCCCTCACACACACTCGTCCCCCATTGTACTGTACATTTAGCAGTATTGTACCCTTTCCTCTAAGCTGTGTGCTTTGACTCTCCCCACAACTTTGTCACAGGTCGCCCCTGGCCAGATACCACCTCCCCCCGGCCTGCTACAGAAGCCAACCCTTCCTTTCACCGAGTCATCTCCCTGGCTGCTGTGCTCCCTCATACACTCAATTCTTGATGCATCATACGTTGTTTATAGTGCCTTTTGTCCACCCCTCAACCCGTCTCACAGGTCGCCCCTGGCCAGATATCACCTCCCCCCGGCGTGCTACAGGAGCCACCCCTTCCACAGACTCATCTCCCTGGCTGCTGTGTTACCCTCACCACACACGCTGTTCTCCACACCCCACCTGTGTTCCTTGTGTTACAGGTCGCCCCTGGCCAGATACCACCTCCCCCCGGCCTGCTACAGGAGCCACCCCTTCCACCAAGTCATCTCCCTGGCTGCTGTGCCGCACCGGCCTGGATGGGTTCTGGGGTGCTCCTACGGCGGTTCTGTTGCTCTTTGGTGAGTCAACCTGAGTCAACACAAGTCAGAAACGGTCGTCTCCTTGGCTGCTGTGCCGCACCGGCCTGGATGGGTTCTGGGGTGCTCCTACGGCGGTTCTGTTGCCCTCTGGTGAGTGAGAGAACTTTAAAAGGTCAACACCAGTCAACTGAGTCAATCCAATCAAGCCCACCCCTTTCACCGAGTCATCTCGCTGGCTGCTGTGCCCCACCGGCCTGGATGGGTGCTTGGCTGCTCCTATGGTGGCTCAATTGCTCTCTGGTAAGTCAACACCAGTCAACACGAGTCAACACGGGTCAACACGGGTCAACACGGGTCAACACATTCATACCCACCCCTTCCACCGGGTCATATCCGTGGTTGCTGTATCCCGCTGGCCTGATGGGTGCTTGGCTGTTCTCACGGCGGCTCAGTTGCCCTCTGGTGAGTCAACACGAGTCATACCCCATCCACTCTCACCCCCCATCCACTCTCACCCCCAATCCACTCTCACCCCCCATCCACTCTCACCCCCCATCCACTCTCACCCCCCATCCACTCTCACCCCCCATCCACTCTCCTCTCCGCTTGGCCCCTTCCTCCCTCACAGGGATGTGGATTGCCGTTTGCTGCTGAGTGTATGACACAGCCTCTCATCACACTCCATTCCCAAAAGTCACCAGAGCTACATACACCCAAGCCCCATCCACTCGCATGCCAATCTACCCTCAAACCCCCTCCGTCCACTCACAGGGATGTGGATTGCCGTTTTCTGCTAAGTGTATGACACAGCCTCTCATCACACTCCATTTTCGCCCTGCACGTCTGCCCTCTCCCCTCTGAAGCGGATACCCCTTTTTGTGGCAGTTCCTGATGTGTAAACACCCTTACTGTATTCACACTCACCCCCCCTCCCTCCACACACAGGGATGTGCATCGTCGTGTGCTGCTGACTGCATGGCACAGCCTTGCACACTCCATTCACATAAGTCACTGATGCCGCTCACACCCACGTCCCATCCACACTTTTCTTCTTGCCCCTCTCCTCCATACACAGGGATGTGCATCGCCGTGTGCTGCTGACTGCATGGCACAGCCTCGCACACTCCATTCTCAGCCTGCACGTCTGCCCTCTCCCATCTGCTCCTGCTGCTGCTGGTTCTGCTGGTGCTGCTGCTGCCGTTGGTGGTTCTGCTGGTGCTGCTGCTGCCGGTGGTGGTTCTGCTGGTGCTGCTGCTGCCGGTGGTGGTTCTGCTGGTGCTGTTGCTGCTCGTGATGAAAACGCTCAAGTGTTGGGGAAGCAAGCAGAGAAGGAAGGGCTTGGGGGGATAGATGGGCTGGAATTGCTGCTGTTGCTGGAAACAGGGGAAAGGGCGGACAGCTGGCAAAACGACGCAAATGAGCAGCAAAACATGATGCCTGAAGAAGAGTGCAAGTTCACAGTATCAACAGCGATTGTGGGGGACAATCAACAGAGGGTGGTGGTGCGGGCGCCATACTTACAATCTGGCGCACACAGGCTGGCGTTTCTGAGTAGCAAGGCGATGGTGGTGGGGCGGAGCATAGCGGACAGGTGAGCACTGAGGCACCTGGCATGGGTGGGATGCGGTGTAAAGGTCTGCAATAGGGTTTGGTGTAGCACAGGGTGGTGGTGTGAGCACCCACTGCTGCAGAGAGCAAGCCGAGTCACCAGTTGGTGTTTCTGAGTGGCGAGATGGTATTGGTGGGAAGGAGCATAGCGCACAGGTGAGCACTGGTTGGAATGTGGTATGAAGGTGAGCACTGGTTGGAATGTGGTATGAAGGTGAGCACTGGTTGGAATGTGGTATGAAGGTGAGCACTGGTTGGAATGTGGTATGAAGGTGAGCACTGGTTGGAATGTGGTATGAAGGTGAGCACTGGTTGGAATGTGGTATGAAGGTGAGCACTGGTTGGAATGTGGTATGAAGGTGAGCAGTACGTGGTGGTGCGGGTGCCACAGCTGCAGCCAAAGTCAGGTGGGCACAGGCTGGCGTTTTTTGAGTGGCAAGGAAATGGTATTGGTGGGATGGAGCATAGCAGACAGGTGAGCACTGAGCTGACCCGCATGGGTGGAATGCGGTATCAAGATGTGCAGTACAATCTGTTGTTAGCAAGGGTGGTAGTACGAGCACCACAGCCACAGCCACAGGCAGGCGGACATAGGGTGGCGTTTCTGAGTGCCTAAGGGATGGCGGTGGGGCGGAGCATAGCGGACAGGTGAGCACTGAGCTGAGTGGGATACGGAATGAAGGTTTGCAGTAAGGTTTGGTGCTACACAGGGTGGTGGTGAGGGCACCACAGCTACAGCCACAGGCAGGCGCAAACAGGCTGGCGTTTCTGAGTGCCAAGGCGATGGTGATGGGGCGGAGTATAGCAGACACGTGAGCATTGAGCTGAGTGGGATACGGTATGAAGGTTTGCAGTAAGGTTTGGTGCTACACAGGGTGGTGGTGAGGGCACCACAGCCACAGTCAGGCGGACTCAGGCAGGCGTTTCTGAGTGCCAAGGAGATGGTGGTGGGGCGGAGTGTAGCGGACAGGTGAGACCATGGTGAGAATCGGTGTAAAGGTGTGTGGTAAGGTTTGGTGATACACAGTGTGGTGGTGCGAGCACGCACAGACAAATCCACACCCACACTCTGGCGGACACCCACTAGTGTTTGTGAGAATTCTCAAAAACCAGCGCGGACACCCACTAGTGGGGTTGACTTAGAGTTGACTCAAAAGTCAACGCACCACACTCTGGCGGACACCCACTAGTGTTTGTGAGAGCCAATGAGGTGGTGGGGTGGGGAGGGGCATAGCGGACAGGTGAGCACTGAGCTGACCCGCATTGCATGGGTGGGATGTGGTATGAAGGTGTGCAGCCACTCTCCCATCACTCAGGGAAGCACCATATACCGGTACTGACCTCCCACATTCCCCCCTTCCCTTCATTCATCCCCTTGCCCCCAACCCTGCACCATTTTCTCGCAGGCATATCGTGGAACAGCTACTGTCGGGGACTCAGGGAAGCACCATATACCGGTACTGACCTCCCACATTTCCCCCTTCCCTTCATTCATCCCCTTGCCCCCAACCCTGCACCATTTTCTCGCAGGCATATCGTGGAACAGCTACTGTCGGGGACTCAGGGAAGCACCATATACCGGTACTGACCTCCCACATTCCCCCCTTCCCTTCATTCATCCCCTTGCCCCCAGCCCTGCACCATTTTCTCGCAGGCATATCGTGGAACAGCTACTGTCGGGGACTCAAGGAATCATGAAGTGGTGCCATCTCATCTCAACGTTCCTCATCCTCTCTCATTCTCCCTGACCCTTCATCCATCCCCTTGCCCCCAACCCTGCACCATTTTCTCGCAGCCATCTTGTAGAGCAGCTACTGTCGGGGACTCAAAGAAGCACAATCTACTGACGTATCCCACTCTGTACTGCAATGAATGTTTATATGGTGTGCACATGTATTTCTATGATGTCAAATGATTTTGTGTATTCTATGGACTGGTTAATACATTGATAATATCGGCTAAATGGGGAAACTTGGCCACCAGATCCGCGCTATTAGCCAACTCGAAATCTGCAAACTCAAAAGCAGGAGCTACAGTGCATCCAACCAGACTGTACTGTGTATCTGCTGAACCCGCATCTCGAGCCGTTCGATTCAGCGCAGCATCGAAATCAAGGGTGGGGAACGCCCCGAACCAGACGCTGGGTTTGATGATGTGATGAAAGGATTGGCCGGCTGCTAGGTCTGGGCCGATGGTGGTCTTGCGGATTGACCCATCGTCTTCAATCTCCACAATCTGGAGGGAATGGGGGAGAGGAAGGGAGTTACAAAGACAAGGAGGAGTCAGATGTTGGGCTTGATGGGACAATGTGGTGGAAGGGTTGGCCGGCTGCTAGGTCTGGGCCGATAGTGGTCTTACGGATCGACCCATTGTCTTCAATCTCCACAATCTGGAAGAAAAAGGAACAGGATAAAAAAGTAGGGAAGAGGGGAAGGCGGAAGAGGAAGAGACGGGAGGAGGAGGGACATATTGGGCCACTGTGGAATTTTGAATCAGCAATATTGAATTTACTTATAAGTGACAGGAGAGCAGAGGGGAGGGAGGAGAGCAGAGGGGACGAAGAGAGGAGATTAGCATGAGACAAGTGACGGAGGGGGTAGAGGGGAGGAACGGAGGAGAGGAGGGGAGAATGGGAGGGTGGGTAGAGGGAGAGAGGGGAAGAAAAGGGGGGCTAACCGTGAGTGGATCGCCGGCGTAGTGGTGAAGCTAGTTGATTCAGCTTGAGGGGGGTAGGAGGGGGGTGGGAGGGGGGTAGGAGGGCGGTGGGAGGGGGGTAGGAGAGGGGTGGGAGGGGGGTAGAGGAGAAGAGGGGGGCTAACCGTGAGTGGATCCCCGGCATAGTGGTGGAAGATTTCAGAGGAGGGCATGCGATGGAGGTGAGACACGCTGCCCGTGGGCAGAAGAAAATAAATGCAGGTGCTGACCGGCCTTGCCACCTTGACTGCACAATGAAACGAGAGCGATAGGGAGGGGAGAACAGAAGGGGGAGGGGTGGGGAGGGGGAAGGGGATGCGATCCAGTGTGATGCCTCTGCAAGATGCGAGAATGGAGGTATCATGGTGCATCATGGTATGTATCATGGTGTGAGCGCATCATCATGGTGTGAGCGCATCATCATGGTGTGAGCGCATCATCATGGTGTGAGTGCATCATTGTGCGAGCGCATCATGGTGTGAGCGCATCATGGTGTGAGCGCATCATGGTGTGAGCGCATCATGGTGTGAGCGCATCATGGTGTGAGCGCATCATGGTGCGTATGCGCGAGCCAGTGTGATGCCACTACATGTGCCACTATCTGCAAATAACACCCTCCCTTCCTCACTACTTGCTATTGGAACCCTCCACTTGAAACGAGCGGGTTACCACAACTCACGAATTTCGAATACCTTTGGAGTGTCCTGTGTCTGAGCTACGCAACGACAATGCAAACCAAAT